TCAACAGAGAGCATTACTCTGACATTTCGGGGAGAGTCAAGGAGGCGACTATCAATCTGCAGGCAGCACAGACTCAAGCTAGGGAGAATCCTACTATGGCTACTTTTACTCAGGTTCAAGAACTGACTGGGGTATTGAGTGGTCTGAAATTGGCTGAGGAGAGTTTTTACAGGCAACGTTCTCGTATTCAGTATCTAACTCTAGGGGATATGAACTCTGGATTTTTTCATAAAACAGTGAAGATCAGACAGGCTAGAAAACAGTTGCGGATATTGATTAATGACGAGGGCAAGGTGGTCACTGATGAAGAAGAGATTGCTCAGGAGGCTGTGAAGTTTTATCATTCATTATATGGGGTGATCAATGCTGCAGTTGTATCTGACAAGTCTGTTATTTCTCAGTTTATTACATGTTACATCAGGGAATCAAGTAAAACCGCGCTACGTGCAGAGGTGGTGAATGAGGAAATAAGATTGGCATTATTTGGCATGGATCCATTAAAGGCTCCTGGCCCTGATGGATGGACGGTGGGGTTCTACCAAAGGCACTGGGGACTGATTGGTGAGGATGTTTGTGCTGCTGTGAAGGAATTTTTCAGGACTAAGTATCTTCCTCGAGCTTCTGGGTAGCATGGATTCAGCGTTACAGGCTGAGGGGAAGATCAATTTGGGACCTCTCTTCCTCACAGACAGGATCCTGGATATGGCGAAGGCTGTTAGCTGCTCGTGGTTGGTTCCAATACCGGCTTGCTGTTACATCAGCAGGGGAAGTAACTTGGGAGGGGAAGGTGCTGACTCGCTTTTCCATTCAACAGGTATGGAATTCGATTAGACCCAAACGTAGGACTGTTGACTGGTGGAGAGTGATCTGGAACAAATTTGTGATACCTAAGAACAGGGTGCTTGCGTGGTTGATAATCTTGAACAGAATAAATACTTTGGATAAACTGAAGCAGTGGAATAAAATTACAAACTCAGTATGTGTGTTATGTGATGGAGAAGAGGAGAGCAGAGTCCACCTTTTCTGCACTTGCCCCTATTCTCTGCAGGTTTTTGCAGTCTTTTTCGGTGGAGGTCATTGGCCAAACTCATGGGATCGTCTCTTGCAATGGATGTGCAGCATTGCCAAACAAGGAAGCAAGGGTCAGGTGAAAAGTGCGGTGTGGTGCTGGTGCTTAAGTGTTATTTGGAAGGAACGCTGTTTGCGTATTTTTCAGAACAACAAAAAAGAGTGCAGGGTGCTTATCCAACAACTAGTAGAAGATTACAACTTCTATGCTATGGGGAATGTGGATTTTCTTACAGAGGTTAGAATGATTCCTCAGCTTAATAGTTTGCTAGCCTATTGATAGATAGCTTTTGATTTTGGTTTTCCTTTGTAATGGGACTAGTGGAGCAGGTCTGTTGCTCCTGGTTTTTTGGGGTCCTGGTTGTTTTCCAGGCAGCGCTTTAATGAGAAAGGTCTATAATTACCGAAAAAAAAAAAAAAAATGTATTTTCCCCCTTTTTGACCAAAATATGCCACGTTAGCTGAAACTGTTAGTCTAGTCAATATTCGTACTTGGTCCGTTAAAGTTTTGGACGGAATGGCTATTTTTTTGTATTTTTCAAAAAGTGGCTATTATTGTCAAAAGCGCGAAAGTTATGACTATGTAGGTGAATTAAACCTTTAATTAACTTTGGAGAATTCTTATAACTCAAATTCTTTTCTCATAGGATCAAATCATCATTATTACCAATGGACCAATCAGAGAGAGTTCTTAGGCAACAGTAACTCAACTTCAAATTTATAATTTAACTAGGTTTTAATTGTGTTGCTCTCAATGATAAGTTGATAACCTATCATTATATCTCATCTCGTTCCGAGTGACAAAAATTGTCACTTAGACTAAAAAAATAACACCATATGATATCTCGTTTGAGAAACTTGTCTTATCTGATGTTTGAATTTGTGATTCATGTGTACAGTTTCAAACATAGACAAACCTTCAACCTAAATGTCAGAAGTTACTTCGGTGTACTCACTTTTTTTAGTGCGTTCAATGCACCCAACTCTAAAAATGGCTACAATGTATCGAATTTTGAATTTTAATTGGTAGCATTAGTATAATATGATGATATAACATAATTTCATGACTAATCAAGTTATTACCCTAACCCCTTAACCTTCAATTATGAATCCCAAACCAAAATTCCAAATTGCAAACCTAAACCCTAACCCTAAATCTGTTAATCCTAAATCCTTCAAATTAGAGTAAATCTTGAATGAGTTTTTTGCAAATTCGTGTGTTAATTGTTCATAATATCATAAGTAACTATTGATACCGTTTTGACATAAATCGCATATTCGGAATGACGATTATGAGGCGAGTGCGTTGAATGCCCAAAAAAGTGAGTGCACCGAATATGCCACCATATATATTTTGTTGGGGGTAGCCCTATGTTTTGGTTATAATTATATCCCTAGAGTACAAAATATGTTTGTTGCTCAAATTGGTGACCATGTCTTTTTAGAGAACCAGTGTATCTATATCTACAGAATATATAATAGCAGGAATGGAAAAACTGTTGCTCCATTTCAAATTTCATGCAACGAGACACGTAATGGGATTCGAACCATGACCACTTTAAAGAAAAGCAAGGATCATAACCAATCACACTAAGTACATTTGTTGTATTTTTTTCAAATTAAAAACATATAATAGTAGGGAGGAAAAACCCCTTCCCCCATTCCAAATTCCCTGCTCCAGGAGCGTTTGTAGGAAGGGTATAATAGGAAGTGTCAATTTGTTTTCTCTTTTCTCTGTGGAACGGGCCAACTTACCGTACACATGCGGATATAAACGGGTCTAGGAGTGTCAATTTTTATTTCTCGGTGGTGGTAAGATATATATGAAAAAGGTAAAAATAATACTCTTTTTTATTGCTAAAAAAATAACAATAAACTAATGCATGGATTCTAATTGGCTAACCGCTAACTATAAAATAAAAGAGTTGAATACGCCTGACCTACACAGGGATTTGACCATCAAGTAAAACAAATGAATATCATGAGTTTGTCATTCTTAAACAAGCTATCTTCTCTAACATAATATATATTATGCTATTATTTTATATCTTAGTGGCTAAAATATAATGTATTTTAAAGTTACTCAATGGTTCAACCTCGACCAACTCAATTAGTCCAACTTTTATCATTTCAAATATATATATTATGTAATTATTTGATATCATAATGATTAAATTAGAGTGTATTTTATAGGGAATCGTTTGGTATTTGTTAGTAAAAAATGAAACTGAAAGATCTATTTGTTATTTTTAACATTAAAACGATCCTAAACATTTTCAGTTTCCTTTCGAATTTCTATGGTTTTATTCCCGAATAAGTGATGTGAAAATGTCGAATTGCAGTCATCTCTTTTCTTTAACTATTTTTTATTTTCAAATAGAAAGTTTAAAAGTAAAGAATAATAAGAGTTTGGCATGAGTCAGTCAAACAGGCTGAATTTCAAGTTTTGACCCGTTTTAATCAAGTCCAATTTATAATCACATGGTTCCCTGATACCCGATAAAAATCTCAATCCAAACCAGTTTGGTAAGTGAGTTCGTGTTTACCACCATTTTCTAGGGATACAGGAACGACGGTTCATATCCCAAATCGTGTTGTTCGTTCTTGATTTCTTTAGATTTTATCATGGCTTGGCAAAAACCAGAAAGCACAATGACGACAAGATAAAAGTTTTATAAAGCAAATTAATCGGCCAACGGGCCGAGTAAAAGCTAGCAACGATTGTGAGATGCTCATTTCTCAAAAAATGGCAAGATATGTGATTTTTTATTCGATTTTCTTGAATTTGGTTTCTATAAAACTTACTCCACCTCATCATATTACCAGAAACAATATTGTTTCACAAGGTAACATGTACTTGATTTTGATTCATAAGGATGATTTTTGATTCATTGCATCATTCATGTCTCTTTTCTACTAAAATTCACTATCTTTAATTCTTTATTACATGTTTCCCAAAAAAAAATTATACACAAAAGCTATACACTCCATTACATTATCAAATTTCATACCTCACATTCTTCCAGCCAACTGACCGGGCCCCACTCTAGTATGTTTATATAACTCATAGAAGCAGCGTAGAGCTTCAAGAGATTTTGGAATCAATAAGCATTGAACAAGAGGTGGATTGTGATACTGGCCACAAAGAGTCGTGATCCAATCAAGTAATACAATTAGTGTATTATCATTTGATGGATTGAATCAATTGATGTATTAGGTAAATATCTTGTTTGGAGGTTTAGATTGTGTTTTTGTTCCAAAGGTAAAAAAATTAATATTGAGTGATTGTGAAGAATCTCAACAAAAAGTAGAGATTGTAAATCCCTCAATATTGAATGATTGTGGTGGGGCCTCCAAAAAGTAAATGCATGTATTCTAGTTCTATATAAACAAAAAAACGACTTAATCTCACAAATACATGAATTAGATCAGTACACCATTTGAAATCACAACTTCCAAACGACCCTTCTAATATACATGAGGCAAACAAGTACCAATCGACTCTCACAACCAATGAGAGATTTAGAGATTTGTGAGGTTTATCAAACAAGATGAGCATGCAACTTACAAGTGTGTCACCTCCAACATTGACTTCGAAAATTAAGGCATTGAGTTTGGATAGAAATCATGTCCAAGATTCGGTATGTATAGACTATTGACACAATGAAGCCAGATCCCCACTCTTCGCCGCCTGATGAATTCTGAAACAGGGAAGTTAAGAGACGTTGAGGATGTCTACCGGGCCGGGGATCGTCTGCAGATCCCTGACGATGGCGGCAGATATGCTAAGCAAAATCTAATCACAAAATTAGTTTATCCATTTACATTGTCAAACCTTAAACCGCTTCATGAGTTCCAGTATATCTCGATATGTCATGTCATTTGGTTCTTGACTCAAATAATGAGTATAAAGATCCCTTTACGAAACCTTAACCGTGTTGAATGTTGATCCTGATTCCTGATGAGACCACAACTTCACAAAATGAACACAGCTTCAAACAAACCGAATAGACCATAACAAAAACTCGAACGCAATTCATCAAAAACCAAATAGGAAAAATATCTGCTTAGTGCTTATAATACCAAAACGAAAAAACAAGACTGACTGGATAGATTGTTCCCACTGAAGTTCTCTAATCAAAGAAACAGACGCATATGGGATGAAATGATTCAACACAGCAAGCAAAACTAGTTGTTCAACTCCAAGGGCAACCTATTTGCTTTAATCCTGAGCATCTCCTTCATCGTCACTACCAGCACCACCCTTCTTGGACGCTGCTGATTTCATGTTCTTCCTCTTCACCCTTCCGTTCACATCAGCATTACCAAATGGACTAGTCAATGCGAAATCAACATGCTTAGCTGAATCAATCCTAACCATGAAAGATGGCACATTCACAACCTGTCTTCCAACCCTGCCATTCACAAGGTACAGGATCATTAGACTTGTAGCACCAGAAAATAATAACCATACAGAGTACACATCCTATTGATTGTAGAGGGTTGAGCAACAGATATGATCAAGACTCCTAAAAACGTAATAGTAGACCATAACCTATCAACCCTTTCAAAAACAGAAGGTATTTTGTTCGATGTGCGACTCTGATGATGAATTGGTTTTATTTCTATCAGCTGTGAAGGAATGAGGTAATTCTTCCATTTGGATGACCACAAACAGATGGACTTGGCAAATCCTCCAAGTTCCCAAACACCATATTCAAACAAAATACCATGGAGCACAATCTAACCATTTAAGCTCCACCCCATTTCACATCCACACATCCAAAATGAGGTATCTTACCATTCAGGCTTGGAGATTTCTTAATTTTTTTCTGTCTGAAAATATGAAAGTAACACTTCCACAGAGCCCTAAATTCTTTTTTTACCTGATATGTTTCTGCCTGATGAGGACACGGGCATGGTGGATAGACTTTGCCATACCAGCCTTGAAAACAATAGTCTGCAGACGGCGCTCAAGGAAGTTTTCAACAGTCAAGGCCAAGACATAATCGAGCTTGTTCTGACTCTCGTCCAACAGTCCATAGCGGTTCATCCTTCGAAGAAGGGCCTCACCCTCAAAGATCCTACGTGGGTTCTTCTCATCCAGAGTCAAAAGCATTCTAGCAGCATTACGGATGCGGCTCAGTGCATACTGAACCCTCCACAGCTCCCGCTTGCACCGCAGTCCATACTCTCCCACTAGCTTCAGCTCAGCATCCAAACGCTCCTTCTCATAAGGACGACGAGGCTTCTTGAACGTCTTCCCATCTAGACATCCCATAATATCATTTCAGAACACAGACAAAGAGGAAGAGAAAAAACAAAAACAAATTGAAAAGCAGCTTATCTTCCCCAAATCTCAGAAATCAAGTAGCGCGAACAAATAAGATACCAGATATTAACCGTACATTAACAAAACTGTTCAGATCACAAGCAGCTTATAAACCTATCAAGTAGATCAGGTCTAAAGTTCTCTAACGGGTACTCTGAAGAACAGTATATGAAACCCCCGCAGACAATCGCCAGCGAAATTACAGAGACATAATAACAGGATGGAAGGAGGGAGGGGAGATTACAGTTGCGGTAGAAGGCGACGTGCACCATGATTGCGTGCTGCGACGACGAGGCGTTCCCTGCCTCCGAGTTTTCCCTTCACCGTCGTCCTCTTTCTCGCACAGAAAAGGATCGCAGCTCTGTTAAAAATGGGGCGAGGAAGAATATAAGGGAAGGGAAACCCCCAAAACCCTAATTGGCCAAGTCTACTCTACTCTGTATTCACTGGGTTGCCTGAAGAAGTTGGGTTTCGAATTATGTGGGCTGTTTCATCTAATTTTCAAACTATGGGCTCGGTCCAGCTCGTTCACTTAGTATTAACAAACTACACTAGATAGATTTAGATTTGGGCTAATGCTAGAACCCCAGAACACATGGGCTGTCGTTAATAAACTATTGCCACCTTGTTTTTTAACAATTTGGCAAAATCTCACATTGAGTCAATGGACCGAAGAGATCAAATGGTTCATATTCATAAGAAACAATTGAACTTTAATAGACAAAACGTGTTTAGGACTGATGAAGTAGTGTAAGGATGGGTGATATCTATGGAGACTATGTTATGTACCCAAGAGTAAAATTGTGTAGGATATGTCCAAAGAGGATAATATTTTATCATAGAAAGGGTTGGGTTGTTTTAAATGGTATCAAAACCTCTTTATATCCCTCTTGAATGTTGGTGGGGTAAATCTCAACGAGAACATTGAGTCTCAGAGTCCAAAGGGGTGTAATGTAAGGCCTTGGACAAATTTCATATTGACAAAGTACGGGAGAGATCCATGGTTCATAAAGAACGATCCAATCTAACTGATAAGGCATATTTTGGGTGAAGTGGATGAGTTATATAAGAACTCTAAAGTTAAACGTGCTTAGTGTGGAGCAGTGCAAAGTAGGGTGACCTATTGGGAAGTCACTGTGATATGCACCTAAAATTAAAATCTTGCTAGGGTTGAGACAAGAACAAACAATGTATTGGCCAAAAAGGTTGGGATGTTACAGTATTCAGAAAAAATAAAATGAAATAAACCTTTTAATAGTATAAAAATCATAACACCCATAGACACGAGATAACCATATCACACAACACGTTAGTGAAAATGCTATTTTCTGACCAAGATATCATAGTGAACTCTTAAGAAATCACTATGACCTGCACACAGAAGTAAAACCGTGCATGGGTATGCCCAAAGCAGAGAATATTTTGTTCACAAAAAGGGTTGAATTGTCATAAATTGTATCCGAGCCTCTTTGCGTCCCTGTAAAACATTGGTGGGTAAATTTCAACCTGGACGTTGAGGCCTAGAGTTCCGGGAGGGTGAAATGTAAAACCTTGGGACAAATCCCGCATTGGCAACGCACGTGAGAGATCTTTGGTTCACAACAAACAATTCAATCTTAATTTACAAGATGCATTTTGGAGTGAAATTAAAGTTAAACGTGCTTGGTGTAGACTAGTGCAAGGAAGGGTAACCTGTTAGGAAGTCACTATTATATGCACCTAAAATTAGAATCGGGGTAGAGACAAAATAGACGGTATCTTGTTAAAAAAAGGTTGGGATGTTACAGTTTTGATCAAAATAAAATGGGGAAAAATTATCTAATATTATTGAAAAAAACTATAACACCCATAGACACGAGATCACCATATCACCAAACACGTTATTGAAATGATATTTTCATACCTAGATATCGTAGTGAAGTCTTAGGAAGTCACCATGATATGCACCCAAAATCAAAAATCGTGTGGAAGTAAGCTCAAAGCAGATAATATCTTGGTCAGAAAAAAGGTTGCGTTGTTATAAATGGTATTAGAGAACTTTGGTGGGGGAAGCTCTCAATGAGAACGTTGAGTCCAAGAGTCCCAAGGGGGATGTAATGTAAACCTTCGCAAATCTCACATTGACAAAGTACGGGAGAGATCCATGGTTCATAAGGAACAACTCAACCTTAACCGACAAAACACGTTTTGGGGTGAAATGGATGGGTTCTTGTAAGAACTCTAAGCTAAAATGTGCTTAGTGGGAGTAGTGCAAGGAATGATAACTCTTGAAAAGTCACTATGATACCAAAAGTAAAATTGTGCGGGATAGATACAAAACGAACAATATCTTAGTAAAAAAAGGTTAGTATGTTTTCAATATTCATCAAAATATAATGGAAAGAATCATCTAATTATTAAAAAAACTATAATACCCATGGACACGAGATAAGCATATCACCAAACACATTAGTGAAACGCTATTTTATAGTAGAGCTGTGATTTAATTGGTAGCGTGTCAATAAAAATATTTTTTTAAATAATACTCATAATAACCAATCATCAACAACTCTTCTGATAAAGATTTAGGGTATGTCTATGGTGACATGCATGTCACCGTAACTTGCATTTTTAGTTCGACCTTATATAGGATTCGGTCGACCTAATCTGCACTTTTACGTCGACCTTATATAGGATTAGGTCGACCTAATATGCACTTTTTGATCGACCTTATATATGATTAGGTCGACCTAATATGTCATTTCAGTTTTGTGAGTTTTAACGACGCGGTTGACCTTTTATAGCAAATAGTCGACCTCTTGGGAAGCGCACGGATGACATGTACGACTACATGGGCCAGATTTCCACCCAGATGACTGGCATGTACGACTACATGAGAAAAATGACCATCCAGATGAGCACACTGCAGGTGACCGTGAATGAGATGCGAGATGAGTTTCGATCTTTTAGTGGAAGATACATGCATGTCACCGTAACTTCCGACTACCATAATGCTAGCAACACCAATGAAGAAAATGTGGATGAGCACACTGTAGGTGACCGTGAATGAGATGCGAGATGAGTTTCGATCTTTTAGTGGAAGATACATGCATGTCATCGTAACTTCCGACTACCATAATGCTAGCAACACCAATGAAGAAAATGTGGATGAGGGAGAGAGGGGGCAGGCGTAGGAACTCGGCGATTTTAGATTGTGTGTTTTTATTGTTAAGTGTTAAAACAATTGTGGATTGATATGATGTGGTTTTAGATTTTAGTTATGTGTGAACAATTATGATTTGTGTTTTATTGTATTTCTTTTTAATTTGTATAGTTGTTAAGTTAGGAAGTTATGAGTCCTTGTTATCATTATTTATGACTGATTATGTTGGTTTAAAACGTAATTTGTACGAGCAAAAGAACCACCCACATCGCTTCCCAAAGAGGTCGACCATTTGCTATAAAAGGTCAACCGCGTCGTTGAACCTCACTAAACTGAAACGGCATATTAGGTCGACCTAATTCTATATAAAGTCGGCCTAAAAGTGCATATTAGGTCGAACTAATCCTATATAAGATCGACGTAAAAGTGCAAATTACGGTGACATGCATGTCACCATAGCAAAGTCCAAAGATTTAAGGTTTTGATTTTCAACATTTTAAATTTGAAGCAATAAAAGTGATTGTAAGTGAGTGTAGGAGGCTATTTAGGGAAGACAAAAAAAACCAAAATTTTCTTTTTCAATTTTTAGTAATAACTAAAATATAAAACAGAATAGTAAATCAATGTTGCAGGCAATCAGAATGTTCCAACTAACATGCTCTCTCTTTCATTTTTTATTCCCCATAAAAGTTAAATGGATCAATCAGAATGCTCCACATAACATGCTCTCTTTTTTATTTTTTATTCCCCATAAAAATTAAATGGATTGTATCTTCTTCGTCACAATTCGAATTTACATTTTTTTTTGCACAAATTTTTTTGATTTGATGACATTGTAACATCTTGAACCTAACGATGAAAAAACATCTTGAACCTTTTCCCGACTAAGATACATCTGCTTTGGGTCGAGACCTTCATGGGTTTGGCTTGGGGTGCATATAAGAGTGACTTCCCATAAGATCACCCATCAGTTCTCCACAACGAGCACGTTTGATTCAAGCTTAATTGTACACTTTTTATCCAAGTTTTCCTTAGGCGTTTGAAACATTTGCACTCCGAGAGGTTTGATTTTACGCTAGGTTTTGCCTTGTTTTAGCTTGTTTCGGACTCAAAAAGGTGGAACCAGACCCAGAGTAGGAAGTTGAATGAAAAGACGCAAAATCTTATCAAAGGATGGAGATAGCCGCATATCACGATAGAAGCAGAGAGTTCACGATCAGAAGGACCGTGAACTGAAGTCAGAGACCGTGAAGCGCCATGCGTCCATAGCCATTTTTGGTCTCACTAGACTCAATTCAGTTCACGGTCGTAAGACCGTGAACCCATGCTAGAGACCGTGAAAAGCCTAAATGATGAGAGAAACTTCTTCTTCCGATTTTAGAGTGAGAAAGTGACAAACCAAAGAAGAGGAGAAGCTAGGGTTTCATCTCCAAGCAAAGGAGGATCTCTTCAACACAAGGAGCAAGGTTAGCATCTCCATGATGGTTTTCCTTCTTCTCCCTTGTGTTTTCCCTTCTCCTAGCATGGGGCAGTTCCTTATTTCACTTGGGTGTTTGTAAAACGTAGCTACAATTATGTGAATGTTTGTACAGGTTTCATGATTTGTGTGTGGATGTGTTTAATATGAATTTGGAGGTATTTTCATGGAATATTGTGTTGTGTGTTTTCCTATCAATCTACTTGCCCTATATTTAAACATACTTGCCCTATATTGCACCAAATTAAGGTTTATACTTGGGCCCTAATTGGGAGTTTTATTGTGATATTCAGGACGAGTCAAGTTTTTGGCGTTGTTGCTGGGGAGCAAACGATCCATTATTTTGAAAAGATTGTTTGGTGTTAATCTAGCTTTTACTTTTCGCTTTTGTGTGTGTGAATCTTGCTTGTGTTAGACGAGTTATGGTTCTTTTGAGTGTGTGCATGAAGGTGTATGACCAGGAGTAATCCGACACCTTTGGCACCACTGGACGAGAATCTCACCCGCACTCTCCGACTCTTTGCTCCTGAGAGGGAGCCAGCGGAAGCAAGAAGAAGGATAGAGGAGAAGAGACAACCACAAGTTGGTCCCGAAGTTGAAGAAGTTGTAGTTGAGGAAGAAGTTGAATATGAATAGAAAGGAAGTGAAGCCGAGATGGAGGCTAATCAAGAAGCTCAAGCGGGAGCTGTCGAAGCAACCGAGGACCATGGGCTACTATATGGCTCCACGGGCGGCGGATATTCAACCTACTATCAGGCATCCACTCATGGCCGCCAACAATTTCGAGATCAAGCCCGCCCTTGTAACCATGATCCAAAACAATGTATTATTTCATGGGCTTCGCAATGAGTCTCCAAGGGAGCATGTTTAGAGGTTCATCGAGCTTGCAGGAAGTTTAAAGATAAA